TTGTATTCCTCTATGGATTATCAGTCTTTTCTGTAGTTGAAAAAATAAAAATGAGCAGAAAAAAAAAAGAGGGAAGCGCACTAGAAGAAAAGAGCATTATACCAACACCGTCAATGAGGATCAGATAATCCATCAAGGAATTTAGCATTTGCACAACTCACTAAGCCAACCAATTGCCAGGCCTGAAATGTGAAGCTATGTTCTAACCAAGCTCAGTCATAAATCCACTAATTTTAACCTTGGTTCTCTGAATCATCTGGACCTGGATGGAAATAATGTCCTTATGGACACCTTGCAACAAAAGAGTTGGGAGGCTAGAGTGGCTAGGAAAATGGGGCCATTCTAGCTGCAACTCTTGTCCTTCTCTATCTATTTTTTTCCCCCTTATACACTTGTCCAAGGGGAGGGAAATAGCTTCTCCTATCCTATCTATCGGTGGTTCTGATCCGAGCTGGGCTACTGCTGTTTCTAGTTTTAGTTTTGCAATCAGAGATTTTTTTTTTTTTTAAAAAAAGCAAAGGGCAGCTGTTGAAAATGGAATGGGATGACTCACCACGGGCAACTTGCTATGGCACAACTCGGGACAATTCACCAAACATAAAAGTGAAATGAATTTCGATGGAACCGTGGTGTCAGGATTCCAGCAATCGCCCTAATTAAATCATGATTCTCGAGCCAAACTTCAAAAAACTTCAAAGGATTCATTAGAGGCGACAGACTGGCACCGCCCTGGGTGAAACCAACTCTGGCATACGTCATTCACATATGCCCCCCTCCCCCCTGAGTATGTCATAAATCACATTCTCCAATTAAGCACAATTCATGGGCTGGGTGTCATCATTCACGTTCTCCAATTAAATATATTCGCCGGCAAAAAACCCTGGTATTTTAGTTACAATCTTTTAAAGATAAAGAGTTGGAATGTACTTTCGCTTTCAACTGCTCTTCCAGATTCCCCCCCCCCTTTTTTTAATGGCAACTATCAAAACAGGCATAGGAATATTTTATGAGTTGACACGTGGCTAGTAATCATAAAAAAGAAAGTCAATCCAGAAATACGAGGCTTACAGTAATTTTGACAAAAACAGAGTCACCGAGAATAAAAGTGACTGAATGAAACAGTTGACACATGTCGAATGGTGCCACAGCAAGTTGTGCTGCGGCGAGCTGGCCATAGTGACTTGTGGTTGAGTTGTCCTGAAAAAGTGGCTAAGCCACTGGCCACCCTTTGCTGCTAACAGGAAACTGAGCTGGCTTTGGTTTGCTGTATTATCTACATCAACTCGGGGCAAGAAACGGGACCACGGAAACAAGCGAAGAGACCCATCCGTGGGATGCAGGCAGCACATGAAACCAGGCCCCCTCCGGTCCATGGAAAAACCTCTCTCCATGGAACTGGTCCCACGGTGCCCCAAAGTTTGGGGGCCACTGATACACACACACACACACACACATATATATCTCCCTGGCTGTGGCTGGACTGCGCTTAGTCTGTTGTGCAAATCTTTGTTTCTCGAATTCTCCTGAAAAAAAGATGATCAGAACTTTAGAAGGGACCTCGTCCGTTTCTTGCCTGCTGCCTCCTTTTTCTCCTCGCCAAAACCAAGGAACCAAACGATGTTTACAGCCTTTTATTTTCCTTGTGCGCCTCCGATTTCTCTCCCGTGTACAACAACAACAGCAGCAGCAGCAGCAGCAAAAGTGAAGAATCCAGTTTCACAGCAAAGGTTTTCTCTCTCTCTCTCTCTCTCTCTCTCTCTCTCTCCCCACCACCTTCCTGGTCCACCGTGTCCCATGGTGTCCACGAAGCATCTTTTGTCTCGTGAACAATCTCGCTTCGTTGAGCAAAACCATGTGTCTTTTCCGACAGGATCATGGGTGCCCAACAGAAGAGAAACAAGGCAGTTTAATCCAGGTTGATCCCATGCAAAACAGCTGTGTGGAGACTGGGCAAATCAGATTCTGTTGTTCTGTGACTTTCAACACGTTGGTGTGCCAAAAAGGGGGTTGCGGGATGAAGGAAGACCTAATTTGGGGGCGGGAAACAGCAACCTTATAACATAGGCCGTGCTGAAACGTTTAGAGGTGCCCGTCTCCTGGCAGATTTATACCCTTCTCCTCTTCCTCTTCCTCTTTTGCCTTGTCTCCCCAATGTGCCTTTACTTTACTGGTGGCTGCCACCCCCCTTTGAAGATGTTCAAATCCCCGTTGCATTTCCAAACGCAGGTGGGCAGAGCGAGATCGATAGCAGAATAAGAAGAGTTGGAAAGGGATCCTTGGAGGTCTTCCAGTCCAACCCCCCCCCCCCCCCCCCACGCAGGAGATCCTCTATGATTTCATAGCCTCTTGGAAAACAAGCATCCCACCCCACCCTATTCCACCCCTACACCAGGAAACCTTTTCTTGGGAAGGAGGGAGGGAAGGAAGGAGCTGTGTTCGGATCATAACAAATGCTTCAAGCGGCCCCCCCCCCCCTTTTCCTCCACCACCTCCTCCGAGCTCTGAATGCTGCAAAAATCTCCATTTGTATACCGTGCTCAGCACCTCTCTCATGGACTGATACCTGCTCATGTTTGCGAGATATTCCACACTGTTCTACAAGCATGCACCTTTATGTATAGTTTCGATCTGATTTTATGGAACTCCAAAAAAAAAAAAAGGAAAAAAAATATACTTATGCCTGTTCGCATTGCAATCAATTAAAAATAATAATAATAATAAAAAATTCCATGCCTCGTGCTTGTCCGGCCTTCTATTTTTTCAAGCTGCTTTAGAAATTTCATTCGTTAGAATGGTTATTTTAGCACGGCTGCGGTTTGGATGAGAATTACGCAGCCTCCGGGAGTTAATACGGTTGACATGCATTTGGCTTAGCCTGGAGTGCGGGGGACGGTGGTGGGATTCAAAATTTTTTACTACCGGTTCTGTGGCTGTGGCTTGGTGGACATGGCAGGGGAAAGATACTGCAAAATCTCCATTCCCTCCCCAGCCCACTAACCTGCTTTCCGGCCCCATTCTCCTGTGCAGGGCAACCAAAGGAGACCCAGCCGATCAGCTGGGACTTAATGGGAGGCAGAGAATAGATGGTGGTGGGGCCAGTCAGGGGTGGGATTTGCCAGTTCTCCAAACTACTCAAAATTTCCGCTACCGGTTCTCCAGAACTGGTCAGAACCGGCTGAATACTGTTGAGGTAATTCCCCGTTAGGAGAATGAGCGCACACAGGGAGACGTAGTGAGAGTGGTGAAGAATAACACACAACCAGCACACAGATACACTGTATAGTAAAATGTAGGTATTTACTTCCAGTAAACGGTTAAGCAAAGTCCAACAAGCAGTCCAAGTCATACACAGTTATAGCAGTCAGTTTTCAGTCCAGGGATAATCCAATAACAAAGTCCAGTATCATAAACAGCTCAGTAGTAGACTCACATCAATCCAAGAATAATGATGATCAGCAACAGTCAGTAGGGAAATGCAGGAACCAAAAATAGTGAACATCAGAACATGGACCAACTAGCAACACTCTCTGGGAAACCAGGTTTCTGGCTCCATCTTATGGCCGTTTGAGGAACCACACCCAATTACAATTTTAGCATTTCCTTAAAGAGAATCTAGCCCCTGTGATTTTTGTGCACTCTGATCATGGCTTAGCACCATGTACAGGCACCGCCAATGGTGGGGCTGCTAACAAACTGTGGTTAAATTTATGATGGCTTAATGTGCATGGTAGTGTAGGAAAACATTCTGTAAGCAGTACCTAAAAATGGAGAGCTAACAACTACAGGTTTATTAATAGAAGATTTGGGTTAAATTGTAGGGGCCTTGGCGCCCTCTGAGCTTGGTTGTTTTCTTGCAGACATATTTCATGACCCAACTAGGTAATGTCATCAGTGCTGCAAGGAAGTGGGATTGGAGGAGGAGGGGGGAGGGGAGAGGGGAGAGGGGGAGCAGGAGAGGGAGAGGACTGTGGCATTCTTGGTGTTCTCTGAGCTTGGTTGTTTTCTTGCAGACATTTCATTACCCACTAGGTAACACCATTAGTTCCCTATAGCAAATCCCACACACTCACTAGCACTGATGAGGTTACCTAGTTTGGTAATTAAACGTCTGCCAAGAACACAACCAAGAGAGCACCAAGCCCCCCCCCCCCCCCCCCCCCCCCACAAAATACAAGAGTACAATCTATTCTGGTTGCTTGCAGATTTGTTAAGCTCCATTCTCCAACTTGTGGCATTCCAAGGAGAGTGATTTTTAAGGAGTATTTTTAAGACAGCCTTTCGCCATTGTATCATGAAAAGCAGGGCAGTCTCTAAATCCACTAAAATGCTGGAGCCCCCCACATTCTTCCCAGCATTAACATCCCTCCTCCTCACCCTTCTGCCCTAAATAACTGAGAAGACGTATCTTTCCCCCATTGTTTTTATGTGTTTATTTTAATGAGGAGCTCCGAGGTGTGTGGACGGAAGGGCGGGGGGGGGGGGGGGGGGGGGGGGGGGGGGGGGGGAATTGAGCTGAAGGTTGCTGAGATTTCAGCATGAACCAAGGGATCCCCCCACCCAAAAAAGGCAAGCTGCTGAAGAGATCATATGATTGCACCATCAACGAGAAATCCTGTGGTTCTTCTGGTTCTGTGGTTTTGGCCGGGAAGCCAGCGGGTCAAGAAACGTACCCACAAATGTGAGCAAAACTTTCCTGGGATATATTGCAGGATCACTGAAAAAACCCCACTTCCCCCTGCAGCCAAACCTCTGGAGGAATCCGGTAGAATCCTCTTTTCCAACTAAGAAATATTAAAAACATCGAGTTGCAGTTCATGGCAGGGAATTCTGGGTTGGGCTTGATGACCTCCAAGGTCCCTCCCGACTCTGTAAAAGCGGCCGGAAAGCCTCCTGCGCCTCTCGAGACGTCCCGCGAGGGAGAGGCGGGGGGGGGAGGGAGAACCCTCCCGCCGCGCATGCGCAGGCCCCCCTCTCTCTCTCTCTCTCAGGGAGGCTCCCCGGCAGCGGCGGCGCAAGATGGCGGCGGCCGAGCGGGAGGCCTGTGAGGAGGCGGCCAAAGAGGCCGAGGAGCAGCGGGCGGGCCCCGGATCCGCCCCGGCCCCGGCCCCGCTCGGCTTGACGGAGCTGCCCGGAGAGCTGCTGGAGCTCATCCTGTGCTGCGGCTCTCTGGGCGCCTCCGACTTGGTCCGCCTGTCCTGCACCTGCCGCCACCTGAGGGAGGCCTGCCAGCCCCGCGGGAAGGTCTGGCGGGAGCAGCTGCGGCGCAGGTGGGTGGGCGGGCGGGCAAGGGTGCCTCTGGGCGTGGGCAGAGCGCGCGGGGCGGGGAGAGAGAAGCGTTTGGCACCACGGGTGTGCAACAGAGTGCCTGGGCATGTGCAGAGTGCAGGGATACAGGAGGAGCGTCCAGGTTTCGCGTCACTGGAGCACCACCAGGGTGCCTGAGCATGTGCAAAGTGCAGGGGTAGAGGTGCCTGAGCATGTGCAAAGTGCAGGGGTACTCCCAAGCAGGTGGTGCTTCCAGGTTTTGCACCACGAATGCACCAGGGTGTCTGGGCATGTGCAGAGTGCAGGGATAGAAGACAGGGTACTCCCAACCAGGAGGTGCTTCCAGGTTTTTCATCAGGGAGCATCAGGGGGTCTGGGCATGTGCAGAGTGCAGGGATACAGGAGGGGGTTAGTCCCAACAAGGAGGACTGTCCAGGTTTCGCACGTAGGTGCTGTCTGGGCATGTGCAGAGTGCAGGGGTAGAGGATGGGCTACTCCTAACCAGGTGGAGCTTCCAGTTTCACACATGGGTGCACCAGGGTGCCTGGGCATGTGCAGAGAGTGGGGATAGAAGAAAAGGATACTCACGAGGAGGAGGAGGAGGAGGAGGAGCAGCTCCCAGGTTTTGCACCAGGGCTGCCCCCAGGGTCTCTGGGCATGTGTAAAGGACGGTGAGGAGGAGGAGGAGGGTGTCCCAAGTCCAAAGAAGCTGCCTGGTTTTGCAACTCATGAGGATGCACCAGGAATGGAGAGTTTGATAAAGAGACGCTTCTGAGCATGGCCAGAAACAGCGATGAGGCTTCTGAGCATGGGCAGAAGGCCTTGTGGGGGAGGCAAGGAGGACGGATGGAATCCCAGCTGGGAAAGAGCTTCTGGGTTTGCAGCATGCGATGCAATCGGGGTGTCAAATTGGGAACGGGGTGTTTTGGGGCATGTGCAGAGAGCCTCTGGGGCAAGGAGGAGGGTGATGCCCCAAACCTAAAGGACTTTCCAAGTTTGCAACACACGGCTAGGTGGCGAAGGGATGCCTCTGGGCATGGGCAGAGGGCGACCATTTTTTCACACGAGCTTTGTAGCGTCTCCACAATCACCTGATCCAAAATTCAGACCCTTGGCAACTGGCGTGTACTTACGACCGTTTGTAGTGTCCCGGGTGTGTGTGTGTGTGTTGCATGATCCCCTTTTGCGACCTTCTGGCAAGCAAAATCAATGCCGGATTCACTTAACGACCGGTTTACTAACTTATCCACTGCGATTCACTTAAAAACTTGGGCAAGAAAGATGGTTGAATGGGGCAAGACTCAACAAATGTCTCGCTTAACAACAGACGTTTTGGCCTCAATTGCGGTCGTAAGTCCAGGACCACCTGTGTAGGTGCCACTTTTTAAAAATATATCTTTTGTGTGCTTCGTTTTTTTGGTTATTCAGAGATTAGAATGAGTCAGTCCTGTTGGCCTTTTCCAAAGCTTTAAAAACTTGGCTAGGTACTTGGGCCTGGAGCTCAGAATGTGTTATTTGGCTGTACCATTAGTTGGTTAATCATCATGGCTGCTGTTTGTGGATGTTTTTACTGTTTTAATGACTCGTTTTGATTGTTTTATAATTTTAGAAGTGTAAACCGCCCAGAGTCACTTGTTGAGTTGGGCGGCTATAGAAATTGAATGAAAGAAAAACAACAGAATGATGGAGTTGGAAGGGACCTTAGAGGTCTTCTAGTCCAGCCCCTGCTCAGGCAGGAAACCCTACACCATTTCAGACAAATGGTTATCCAACATATTCTTAAAAACTTCCAGTGTTGGAGCATCCATAATTTCTGGAGGCAGGTTGTTCCACTGATTAATTGTTCTCACTGTCAGGAAATTTCATCTTAGTTCTAACTTGCTTCTCTCCTTGATTATATTCCATCCATTGTTTCTTATGAATCGTGTGTGTGTGTTTGTGTGTGTGTGTATCTTGCGATCTCCGGAACTAAAATTATATTTATTATACTTAACTAAGCTTTCATCAGCTTCTGCTGACATTGTCCAGAATATTAAGCTTTGTGTGTGTGTGTATACATACACACACATACACACACATCATACATATATACATACTACCATGCTAGATTATCATTTACCTATCTGTTCTCTCTTATTTCAAAAGCTTTCGGCTGAGTCGCCAGTGACATGTTTCCTAGTTAAAAATACTTTTATCTACTCTCTTTAATAGGCATCTGGTTGTCCTTGCTTAGGTTAAACTTTTTTTTTTTTTTATTTTACTATCTGGAGTTGACAAAAGGCAGGGTTTGTGAGGAATGCTTCCAGTAACTGACTTTGCTATTCCCAAAGCTTCTCCTATTTTTTGGATTATTATTATTTATTTTTTTGTATCTGCTTGCTTTCATCTCTGCCTTATGCAGTTCCTTTTCAGTGACAGATGAATTGAGTGGCAATGAAGGCCAGCGGGTGCCAAATGACTCTTTGCCTGGAATACGGTCACACACACACACGGCTACGTTATTATTGCAACTGTTTATTTTTTAGGCAGCGGGTAGAGAATAATTCCTCCCGACCCGAATTTTGCAGGGAAGAGGATTTTAAAGGCCTCCGATGTAATTACTTCAAATGGAGCCCGGCCCAAAGGAACAGGTCAATAACTCCAGAAAGTCTGCCAGAAAGTCTCACGTTCAAAGAAACGGCTGCTTTTGGAAGGCAGGCCTCCATTCTCGCCAGCCCACACGGTTGGATTTGAATCTTCGGATGGTCCAATTTGGCTGCTTGGCAGGCTAAAGCCAATCTCTGAATCGCGGATGCCGCTTGGAAGCAAACTCAGAGTTTTAGCTCGCTGAACTCGCTGGTGGTTCGGCCTCTTCTGCAGGTGCAGACAGTATATCTGCTTCCTTTGAACTGTTCATTCGGAGTTTTACAAGCCAACTGGCAGTTGGAAAAAGGAATTAAAAAAAAAAAAGGCTTGTCTTCCTTTGCCAAGACATGAACAAAGCCAGGCAAACTTCGCCTTCTCCCTGGAAGAGAAAATTTACATATATCCCTTTCCAGCTCTCTTTTGTCATTATTGACTCTGCAAGTGTTAATGCAAATGCTTGCAGGAGTTATACTTCACTCTCCAGCAGAGGAAGAAAGAGAGATTGGTAAAAGTCCTGAACTAAAAAGCAAAAAACATTGGAAGTAGGTTGTGTGGCACCATTGCAAGCTTCCATAGATATAGTGATGTGGTTTATTGGAGTTGTCCCTGGAGATTCTCAGCCATCCAGGCCATAGTTATCCCAAAGGTGCTTTTTTTTTCAAGAGGCAACTGGATTGACTTTGTTTTTCCCTTGAAGACATTTCACTTCTCACCCGAGAAGCTTCTTCAGTTCTGAGTGGGTTTATTTGAGATGCATCCTTTTATTTATTAAAAACGTTTATGCGGCCATCCAGATTGAATCAGGCACCTTCAGCCTATGGACCTGAGTCGTAAATAAATTTAGCAGAATTTGGTGCTTTGGATTACGTTAATCCAATGACATCTTTTAGAACGTTCACATAGTATGGCAAATAAATTTGATAATATTTATTCAGTCACACGTGTATATATGACCCTTCTTTCCCTTTGACTAGGCCATTATAGTGGTTTTTTAGGCGCCAGTGCAGCAGCCTCCCTAGCTGATGGGAAAGGAAGAAGGAATTGATGGCTGCACCCAAATAATATCATTAAGCTGTTTATTTTATGTAATTAGAAGGTTCTGTCATTGAGGAGGATGTGGTGGGTCTGTTACTGATCGGGATTCCCAAAATAACAGCTCTGCAGAGCTGAGTGGAAGACAATTGTTTCCATACTAAGCCATTTGTTCAGGCTCAGCAGCCAACTTTGAAAAATCTCCCATCTTCCCCCCCCCCCCCCGCCCTTCCTCCTCACCCAAATTCAATGGACACTCGGTGTTTCTCAATCTTGGCCACTTTGAGATGGGTGAACTTCAATTCCCAGAATTCTGGGAGTTGAAGTCCATGCATCTTAAAGCTGCCATGGTTGAGAAGCACTGCTCTACTGTTAACTTTTGGTAGATGGGCAACTACGTAAACTTGTTTAATTTAAAAAAAAAGTCTCTATAGCAAACCTAAAATAAATGGGTAACACTTTCCTCCCCTAACCTGCTAACAAAGGACAACCTTGGTTTGGTCTGCCCGAAGGTTAGCGTTTTGCTCAGATTTTTTAACTACTGTGCGTCGACTAGAGACAAATTTTCCATTCGGTTTGTCTTTCTCTGACACAGGTGGCCTTCTTTAATGAAATACTACAATCAGGCAGACAGTGTGAATTGGCTGGAGCAATATAAAGAAAGACATAAAGCAGGATTGAAAGCTCAAACGGTCGTCGCCTCGTTTTCCAAAAGGTTTTTTTCAGAGCACGTAAGGTGTTTTTTTGTTTTTTTCCTGGTTGATCTTGCAAATAAAACCCAATGTATTGTCGTTACCTATTTGTATGCTGACTGGGGAATTCTGGGTTTCAAAAATCCACCTAAGCAAACTGGCTGGGGAATTCTGGGGAGTTGAAGTCCACCCATCTTAAAAGTTGCCAAGATTGAAAAACTCTGATCTAAGCAGTGCCTCTCCCTCCTGTCTTTCGAAAGCCGCTGCCACATTTTATCCCCTTTGGAGATAAAATGGAGATTGCTGCCTGGAGTTCCTGGATATCAAATCTAAATAATCGCATGTCAAGAATGCAGGTAGTCCTCAAGTTATGACCATTTGTTCAACAACCAAGGGCCTCCTCCATCCCCCGAGGAACCCCACGGTTCACCTAATGACCACAACGGGGAGAGCCAGGATTGTGGGGACACCTTGCTTAATGACCACAACAACTTACCACACCATAATTCTGGGTTCAATGGTGGTAAGTCAAGAACTACGTGCAATTTTTTTTAAAAAAAAGGTATATATGCCCCATGAATCAAAGAAAACTTGTTTTCATTCTCAGTTTGGGAGCCCCCCAAACATGGAAACTCTGCCCCACAACCACAATAATTGAAGCAGTTTTGCTTCAAACTCTCATTTATTTATTTATTTATGAATTTTATATTGCTGCCTATACGGACATGGCGACATCTTGTTCAACAGGCAGTCCTTTATCTTTTAATAACAACGAACCAATTGAACAGCTACAGATGAAATTGGGACTGATTATTCTTGAAAGCTGCTTTAGCAGTGGAATAATTGCCCCGTTTTTTCCATTAAGGTGCCCTGCGATGGCTTCACTGATATCGAGACCCTCGATTGCCCCAGCCACTTCTTTGAAGATGAGCTGATGTCCATTCTTAATACAGGAGGCAGGTGAGCTGAGTCTAAAACCCTAGGAAAGAACATTTGGCGGTTTCTTCAGGGTGCGTGGCATACACATCGACTTTACGTTTTATTTTTAAATTACACTTGTGGTCCTGCATCTTCCCCAGGGAGCTCAAAACCAGCCTAACTATCTTGCTAACAAACCTTTGAGGTAGATTCAGCTGAAAAATCATGATATACCTTAGAAGAATTAAGGATTTCTTTATATACCACTAAAAACTCTCGGATATCAGATAGTCAGAGTTGGAAGGGACCTTGTAGGTCATCTAGTCCAACCCCCCGCCCAAGTGGGAGTCCCTACACCATTTCTGACAGATGGGAGTCCAGTGTCTTCTTGAAAGTCTGAAGTGATGGAAGCTCCCACAACTTCCAAAGGCAACTTCTGTTCCATGGATTGATTGTTCTCACTGTCAGAAAATTCCTCCTTATTTCTAAGTTGAATCTCTCCTTGGTCAGTTTCCATCCATTATTCCTTGTCTGGCCTACAGGCGTTTTAGAAAATAGATTGACCCCCTTTCTCTCTGGGGCAGCCCCTCCCTCAAATATTGGAAGACTGCTATCATGTCTCCCCTGGTCCTTCTCTTCACTTCTCTTCTTGTAAGCTTTAACTGCATGAAATGATGCATCACAGGGCAACAGTTTTTGAACCCAAGGTACCTCAAATGGGTTGACTTACAGAACGTGTTCAAAATCCTGGACTCTCGTTCGGCAAATTTTATAAAATGTTTTATGACACACGAATGGTCATAAAACGGTTTATGGCATCATACAAAATGTCATAAAATATTTCCTGTGCTGATGTTTGATTTGGCTGCTCAGTTCAGCAAGGGGCTACTTTCAAGATAGATACATCTCGGAATATCTCCTTGAATTTTTAAGAATTGTTCCAGTACGTTAGAAGCTCTGCCGTTGTCGAAGGCATTGAGGGATTTGGACCTCTGAAAGGATGAGCCAAGGGGCCACAAGCTGGATTGGATCTAATCACTTTCAAGTTAAATAGCTAAACAGAAACTTTTCATATGTATTTGTGAAAATATTTCAGATATATAGTTCTCAAGTCTGCAGGGTGCGATTGTTTTTAAATGGGACTGTAATTCTGTGGTGGAGAAACGGTTAGAATACAGCATTGCAGGCTAACTCTGCCGACAGCCAGCAGTTCGATCCTGACCAGCTCAAGGTTGACTCAGCCTTCCATCCTTCCGAGGTGGGTAAAACAAGGAGCCAGATTATTGGGGGACAATAGGCTGACCTTGAAACTGCTTAGAGAAGGCTGTAAAGTAGTATAACATGGTATATAAGTCTCTTTTCTATAAGCTTCCTATCATAAGTTGATATATAAACAAAAAAAATGCTAGTATTTTAATAAAAACCTGCTTTTCTCTCTGGGCTCTTGATTGTCTTTCCTGTTCTCACTTTCCTATTATCATTTTTAAACATTGATCCAGGATTCCTCTTTACAATTGTAGTCTGTTTTCCACTCTTCCAGGTGTTTTAGATGTTTCCTTTAAATGATCAAACCTCTACGCTGCCTGTCTTGCTAAGGTGACTCACCACGGTGGTTTCCTTTACCCTGCAGGAAGGGCCTGACCTGGAAATACTATGCAAAGAAAATTCTTTACTTCCTGCGGCAACAGAACATTTTAAAGAAACTGAAGACTTACCTTGAGTACTCAGCCGATGAGCAATCCTTTTTAGAAGGTTGGTAACGTCCCAGAAAGATTGCCATGGACACTGTGTCACATTTGTAAGGCTGGAAGACACATTTGTAGGAAGCAGTCTGAAGAACTGTAACAAAATAAGACACACAAAAATAAGGCAGAAGGGTTGCTTAAAGGAATGGGAGATTAGCATAGACGATTCTGAAACTGAAGAGGAAAGAAATTCCAAAGAAGAGCAGTTGAAAAAGACAAGTCTTTCAGTGAAAAAAAATGACCCTGTTAAAAAGTTTAAAAATTTAAATGTTAAAATATATCCATATATTTCACCCTGAGGTTGGGCAGCCAACTCTAATTTGGCGTTTCTCAAGCATGGCCAGTTTAAGACATAGGGATGCTGGCTGGAGAATTTTGGGAGTTGAAGTCTACACAACATAAACTGGCCGAAGTTGAAAAACACTGGTCTAGTTTGGTTTCAAGCACCTACATTAGTGGGGCCTTCACCTAAAGGTCTGCTCTGTGATTCTTATCATTCTGTATAAAAACGACGTTTCCGATTCTGAGCTCTGGTGGCGCAGTGGTTAGAATGCAGTATTGCAGGCTAACTCTGCCGACTGCCAGCAGTTCAATCCTGACTGGCTCAAGGTTGACTCAGCCTTTCATCCTTCTGAGGTCAGTAAAATGAGGAGCCAGTTTGTTGGGGGGGCAAGAGGCTGATTCTGTAAACCGCTTAGGGAGGGCTGTGAAAGCACTATGGAGTAGTATATAAGTCTAAGTGCTACTGCCCTTCCTTCCCTCCCAGTGGTTAGAATACAGTATTGCAGGTTAACTCTACCCATAGCCAGGGGTTCATTTCTGACTAGCTCAAGGTTGACTCAGCCTTCCACCCTTCTGAGGTCGGTAAAACGAGGAGCCAGATTGTTGGGGCAAGAGGCTTAATCTGTAAAACTACTTAGGGCTGTAAAGTACTGTGAAGCGGTATATAAATATAAGTGCTATTGCTGTCTGCCCTCCCAAACCCATTTCCTGGATCTGTCTTTGTCTTTTCGTAGGGGCCGTGCTGGTTGACCAATACTGTAACCCTTTGTCAGACATCTCCCTCAAGAGTATCCAAGCTCAGATTGATGACATTGCTGCTAAAGTGTGTACATTTCTCAAATCCAAAAACCCCAGGCATCCCACAGTGGAGCGAAAAGCAGGTATGGCGTTAAGCCCAGTTCTCTTGGGTCAGCTTTTTCTGTGGCAGACCTGCGGTGAAACCCATCCAACCGGGGTAGGCAGTCTCGGCCGCAAATTTTGGACCTGACTCATGGATAAATTTAACCCGTGAGTGCGTAACTTGGATTATCAAGATTATCAAGATGGGTGGCTAGTTAACTCCCAGAGTTCCCCAGCCAGTATGGTTGATGCTGAGCATTCTGGGACTTGAAGTCCACGCATCTAAAAGTTGCTGAAGGTGGAAAAATAAAGATGTGACTGCACAGCAGCTTCCAGCAGCAAGAGGTCCAGCAGCAGAGCATGCTGGGAGTTGTCATTCATCCACACCTGAAGAGCATAGGTCGACTCAGCCTTCCATCCTTCCAAGGACCATAAAATGAGGAGCCAGATTGTTGCGAGCCAGAGGCTGACTCTCTAAACCACTTCGAGGGGGCTGTCAAGCACAGTGAAGCAGTATATAAGTCTGTTATTGCTATTGCTCTTCCTTCCTCCCTCCCTCCCTCAAGCAGTATTAGAATGCAGTATTGCAGACTAACCCTGCCCACTGCCAGCGGTTTGACCCTGACCAGCTCAAGGTTGACTCAGCCTTCCATCCTTCTGAGGTGGGTAAAAGGAGGACCCAGATTGTTGGGGTTTGCAAGAGGCTGACTCTGTAAACTGCTTAGAGAGGGCTGTAAAAGCACTGTGAAGCAATATATAAGTGCTATTGCCCTTCCTTCCTTCCTTCCTTCCTTCCTTCCTTCCTTCCATCCATCCATCCATCCATCCATCCATCCATCCATCCATGGTGCACAGTGGTTAGAATGCAGTATTGCAGGCTAACTCATTGCTCATTGCCAGGAGTTCGATCCTGACCAGCTCAAGGTTGACTCAGCCTTCCATCCTTCCGAGGTGGGTAAAATGAGGACTCAGATTGTTGGGGTTTGCAAGAGGCTGACTCTGTAAACCACTTCGAGAGGGCTGTAAAAGCACTGTGAAGCGGTATATACGTCCTAGTCCTAAGTGCTATAATGTCTCTATCCTCTGATAGTTTTGTGGAAAAACAGGAAGAGGAGAGGTTACCTACTCCAAAGGGAGAAATGAACTATCGAACTAAGAATTGCCTTCGCTAGTTTAAATAAACCAAACGAGATGATGTGGTGGAAACTCTCGTACCTTTATTTTATTTCTCTTATTAAATTTGTATGCTGCCTATCTGGCTTACAAGGTCCCTTTAGGGACCCATCATCCATCCTCTTATCAACCTGACCAGCCTTGCTGAGAAAACTCGGTGACAACTCTAATGGAAGAAAGATGAGGTACAAATGAAGGAGAACCTTCCTTTCTCTTATTTTCGTTGCCTTTTTTTTTTTTAAGGAGAGGCCTTGATCGTCTCTCAGGTGGAGCTGCAGAGGCAGGTTCTCGACGCCATGAACTGCGTCCTCTATGAGCAGTTGAAGTACCGAGGGAACGAGGTGGATTATTACAACTGTCAGAATTCATACATCCATCAGGTAAGGCGTTGTTGACCAGGCAAGGATAAATGTTTAGCCTAATATTTCGGTTTTCCATTCACTTCAATTTATTACAGTCCCTAGACCAGAGATCAGAACAAATAAAAACGCTCCGTAAATGTACCATTAAAAATTCTACTACGAAATAATCAATAAAAACTAAAATCACCGTATATAAATCGCCTCTTGGAAAAAAAAAAGCACTGTTGGGACAACCATGACCTGGATGGCTGAGAACCTCCGCCGACCTTCTCGTTCTTCTCTCTTTCCTCCAGGTTTTGATTCGCAGGACGGGAATCCCGATCAGCTTGTCGGTGCTGTATTCGACGATTGCCAAGCAGTTGGGCGTCCAGCTGGAGGCGGTCAATTTCCCCAGTCACTTTCTGCTCAGGTGGTGCCAGGGTAAAGAAGGGTAAGCTTTATTTCCACCCCCTTCCGTTCCACTTCCGTACGTAATTCCTCCCCGGCGAGCGAGAGGGGAGACTCTTGAGACAAGCATAATCTCAAAAGTACCTTTGTTAGAATAGCACCTGGCACATCTGTGGAATCTCAAAACTGAGAGTTTCCCGGACTTCCCACAATGTCCCAAACTACAGTCCATTCCCTTTGGTCTCCCATCATCCCATCCCATGGGCCAATCACGATCTGTCCCAGAGTTAAGATCCTTTTTCTCTGCTGCTTAATAACCTTGAACGAAGCAAAGAATTTTATTTTGTCTACTTAGAACTACTCAATTGAAATCACACACACACACACACACACACACACTTTCTCAGGCAATGTGGCAGCATGGAATATGGCTTCCAAAGCAGACAGGTACATTTAAACCAGGGGTGTCCAACCTTGGCAACTTTAAGCCTGGAGGACTTCAACTCCCAGAATGCCCCAGCCAGCAAAGCTGGCTGGGGCATTCTGGGAGTTGAA